GTGTATGTTTTAATAATATTACATACATATTTGGGTAAATCTTATATTTTTAAGAGCATTTTTTATAAGGTTTTAAAAGGGGATATTTTTGAAAAGTGGCATTGAAAAAGTGGCATTTTTGCAAAAGCCCCATCTTATGTAATAATTTAAATTTTTGAATATATTATCATAATAATTTAATAAATCAACACAATCAAATATATTTGTTGAAAATGAGTTTCCCGTGATATTTGGGGGTTCATAACCTAGTAATAATAATAGTTGAGTAGTAAATACCAGTTTTATTAAGATATAAAGAATATATTGTACGAAACCATTCATTATAGATTGGATTTTAGTTTGGATAACTTTATCCATTAACCGAAAATCCAAAATAAATATATAATTTTAACCGTAAGATTAAAAAGTTTTTTTAAATTTAGAGAATATACTCTTAATATCAACATGTAATGATTATGCAAGTAATTTCATATAAAACATGTAATGATAAGTTACGCAGTGGTGCAGTGACATCCAAATTTAAACGAAAATTAGACTTTTTCTTCAAGATGCGACCAATTCTTCTCATGTCTGCAGGTACGCGTGGTTCCTACTTGTACTTGGTAAATATCTGTAATTCTGTATACAGTTTTGTGTTCTGAAGGTTACTTTGAATGTGCTCTATTTCCTGAATTTGCTTTTTTTTTTTTTAATCACTGTCTCTTATTAGACTTAACTAAAGGAACAGAAGATTACATTAGTGTTAACTAGATTTCATTTTGTTGATACAAAACTTCTGACTTCTCTTCAAGCTACCACTAGTTTTAATAAAACTGGTTAATCTCATTTAAACAATTATTGGTGACGGTTGCAGTGATATCAGAACAAAGAATTATTAGCTACCACTCTCACTAAACTAATATATAGAAATTGTTGTCTGACTTTTAATTTCTTGATACAGTACGGTTGTATTCCTCTTTCTCTCCCCCATTCATCACCTTCTCTCTTGTTGTTTCTTGCATCGCCTTGGCAGTAATCCCGGGGGTTTCTTTCTTAAAGTTTGTGCAAAATGGCGGACTGGCTTCTACTAATACCCTGGAATCAAATCTTCACTGCTGCATGTGGCTGCTTTTTAAGCGATAGAAACTACATTCACTTGATGGAGTCAAATCTCGATGCTCTGCAGACAACTACGGACGAACTTAAGAATAGACGAGATGATCTGTTAGGAAGAGTTTCCATAGAAGAAGATAAAGGTTTGCAACGGCTTGCTCAAGTCAAAGGATGGCTTTCAAGGGTAGAAAGTGTTGAATCCCAATTCAATGATCTGCTTGAGGCTAGATCAACTGAAACTGGAAGATTGTGTTTGTTTGGATATTGTTCTGAGGATTGCATATCAAGCTACAATTATGGTGAAAAGGTATCGAAGATGTTGGTAGAAGTTAAAGAACTTCTATCTAAAAAGGATTTTGAAGTGGTGGCCCAGAAAATTCCTGTGCCTAAGGTAGAGAAGAAGCATATCCAACTCACAGTTGGTTTGGATACAATGGTTGAAATGGCATGGAAAAGCCTCATGAACGATGAAATAAGTACCTTAGGTCTTTATGGTATGGGGGGAGTAGGAAAAACCACCCTCTTAGCAAGTATCAACAACAAATTTGTTGAAGCGGAGAATGAATTTGATGTTGTGATATGGGTTGTGGTATCTAAAGACTTTCGGTTTGAGGGCATTCAAGATCAGATTCTGGGAAGATTACGTCTTGACAAGGAATGGAAACAAGAAACAGAAAATGAAAAAGCATCTCAGATGTACAATATCCTTAAGAGAAAGAAATTTGTGCTGTTGTTGGATGATCTCTGGAGCGAAATAGATCTGAACAAGATAGGAGTTCCACCTCCAACTCGAGCAAATGGATCGAAGATTGTTTTCACCACTCGTTCGAAGGAAGTTTGCAATCACATGAGAGTTGACAAGCAGATAAAAGTTGATTGTTTGTCACCAGATGAAGCGTGGGAATTGTTTCGAATTACTGTTGGAGATGTCATATTCGGAGGCCATCAGGATCTTCTTGCACTTGCAAGAATAGTTGCTGCAAAATGTCATGGTTTGCCACTTGCACTCAATGTCATTGGCAAAGCCATGGCATGTAAAGAGTCTATACAAGAATGGCGTCATGCGATTAATGTTCTGAATTCGCTTGGCCACGAGTTTCCAGGTATGGAAGAAAGAATTCTTGGCGTTTTGAAGTTCAGTTATGATAGCTTGAAGAATGGTGAAATCAAATTGTGCTTCCTATATTGTTCTTTGTTTCCTGAGGATTTTGAAATAAGGAAGGAGCAGTTGATAGAATACTGGATTTGCGAAGGATTTATAAATCCCAACAGATATGAAGATGGAGGTACCAACAAAGGTTATGATATAATTGGCTTGTTAGTTCGTGCACATTTGTTGATTGATTGTGAGCTCACGGACAAAGTTAAAATGCATGATGTGATACGTGAGATGGCTCTTTGGATAAATTCTGACTTCGGAAAACAGAAAGAAACAATTTGTGTGAGATCTGGTGCTCAGATTGAGGAGATACCGAAAGACATCAATTGGGAGATTGTGAGACAGATGTCTTTATTTGGTACTCAGATTAGGAAGATATCTTGCAGTCCCAACTGCCCAAACCTTTCAACCCTATTACTCTCACGTAACAAGTTGGTGGATATTTCAGTTGGATTCTTTCGGTTTATGCCAAAACTTGTGGTCTTGGATCTTTCTGAAAACTGGATTCTTACTGGATTGCCGGAAGATATTTCGAACTTATGTTCCCTGCAATATCTCAATTTATCATGGACACGGATAAAATCGCTACCAGCTGGTCTAAAGGAGGTAAGGAAACTAATCTACTTGAATCTGGAGTACACTCAAGTACATGAGATCAGTCTTGTTGGGATAGCAACAAACTTTCCAAATCTGCAAGTGTTGAAATTATTTTATTCCAGAGTTTGTGTTGATAACATATTAATGGAGGAACTACAGCACTTGGAGCACTTGAAGATTTTAACGGCAAACATAGAGGATGCCACGATTTTGGAGAGGATACAAGGAATTGACCGATTGGCGAGTAGTATTCGAGGTTTACGTCTAAGAGCTATGTCATCACCTAGTGTAATATTAAACACGGTAGCTCTGGGAGGTCTTCAACAACTTGATATTTTGAACTGCAACATATCTGAGATAAAGATAGATTGGAAAAGCAAAGAAAGAAGGGAGCTTTCACCAATGGAGATTCATCCATCTACAAGTTCTCCAGGCTTCAAGCAACTCTCCACTGTTGGTATATTCAATTTGGATGGGCAAAGGGATTTGTCATGGCTGTTATTTGCTCAAAATCTAAAGAAACTAGAGGTGAGATGGTCACCAGGAATAGAAGAAATAATAAATAAGGAGAAAGGAATGAGTATTACCAAAGTGCATCCAGATATTGTTCTTCCCTTTGGGAACCTGGAATCCCTTGAGCTACATGGATTGCCTGAACTTAAGGAAATCTGCTGGAATTTTCGGACTCTTCCTAACCTTAGAGAATTCTATGTCAAAGATTGTCCAAAGCTACCTGAAGATATAGCTAATTTTCTCAGGCTTGGAGACGACGAGGTGGAACGGTGATGACAAGTGGTCAATTGCTAAAGTGACGGCCAAACCATGTGAAGAAATCGAAGTAGAGTACCAACTGCTTCCTTTGTTTCATTTGCTTCTATAAATAACAGAGAACGTCTCTTCTTCCTGAAAAGGAGGAACACAGGAGAGTCCTTCACGTTTTGTTTTTCTCTTTAACTCTTATGTATGCATTTGCTTCCTTGTGTGTAGGAACCAAGAGAGTTCCAAGACTGTTTCCTATTATACTAAATGAAAAAGCCAAAAAAAAAAAAAAGGCAGAGAAATTTGCCTGAAGAATTTTTGTTCTTGTGTTTTTTATTCATGCTTTGATTGGGACCTTATCATTGGGGATTAAGAATGGGAGAAAGATGCTTCGTTCTACGCAAATGAATGGTCTCTCTCATGTACAGATTTGGAATATGTGGTCTCTTTATCTCTATATATCTCTCTCCTGCTTGCTTTGCTCCTACTTTGTGTAACAATTGGTACTGTTTTTATTTCAGTGAACTCGTTATCCAGTTACATTTCTCAAAGTTTAAACTTTCCTCTCTTCACAGTGTGAATTCAAAGATTTGTTGGTGTGTTTTTGTCATGTTCTGTGTTGTCTCCTAAGTAACGAGCCAGAGTTTGTCAAGGAGAGCATAGATGGCTTTGATGTTCCTGGATTGAGCTAGCTTTAGATAATTAGATCCATGGGAGACAGTGAAAAAAAAAAAATACAAGATTGTTCATAGAAGTTAGAACGTTCATTGATTTCTAAGTGAGTCCATGTAGCCCACCACAAGCAATCAATTCGAAGTTTTGGCAATATCTTTACCTTTTTGAAAAAAAAATGCTCTTTTCCATACATCACTGATGATGAATAAAAATCATTACAAAGACTGATTTTTATTTGGGGTCAAATAAAGAATTAAGAGCAATGAATAAAAGAGGTTTCGATTTTTGCCCAAAAAAAAAAAAAAAAAGAGGTTTCGATGTAAAAGGATTTGTTTATTTGTACAAATTAAACGATTTTTTTTTTTTTTGTATTATTTTTTTATTTATTTTGGTCATTCTTTTGTTTAGCTGCTATCGCACCCGCTGGTTTACCAGTCATAAAACTCCCGCAAACGCTCCCATTTTCAAACGCTAAACCAGTCGTTCAAAACGCTTGATAACGCTTAAAGCCGCAACCGCCCGCTTCCGCAAACTCCCGCAACCGCAACCGCAACCGCTGCGTTTAAACCAGTCAGGCCCTTATTTAATGTTTGCATTTTTGAGTCAGTTTCCTTGCCCAATGTCGCTTGGTGTGTAAGAAACTATAACATATGTGGTATATGAGATTGTATATATTTTCATAGTGTGATGGGTTGGTCTCCTTCAAGCTCTGATATAACAATCAATGAGTCATTCATTTCAAGGGAGAGAGGTTCTGTCTTTGGAACCGGATTGATTATCTGTAACCACGGAAAAAACTGAGTTATCCACATCAGTGAAGACGAGGAGGTTACAGTTTGTTGCAGTTTGGAGTAATAAAACACTTACCTTTTTACCGCCTTTTATGTAGCCTATGGCGACTTCTCTCCTTAGCCAAGCTCGCTCTGAGAGCTCAGTGAATGAAGGGTTCTCGCCCTCTTTCATGTACAGTTCAATGTCCTGTGTATCTCAAAAGCAAACTCGAGATTTTCAGACTGCAATTTTTATGATTTTTCAAACAAAGGAAGAGATTCTTTCAACCTTAACGTATATCTCGTCACCATCTGCGTCTAGAATGTCCTTCCATACCTCGTTCAGTTCGCTGTTTTCAGCAACTAATTAAAAAAAGAAAAAAAGAGTATTACTATTGTTCGGATTGCGGTGGATAAATAAGAAACAAAACTGAAATTGATTAACCTTGTGCTGTTACAAGGCTCATAACTTCCTCTGCCGCTATGAAAGTTAGGGACGGCTTGAGTCCTGTTATCTGTATGGTTTTGTATAATGTTTCACCAACTTAACCGTAAAGAAGCTAACAGAAAAACAAAACCGTCTTTCAATACCTGCTTGCCGAGTTTTGAGTCGACGATTTCAGAGGCTAGATTATGTACCTAAAGAAACAACAAAAGTAAGATGAATTTTACCTGTGCAATGTGGTTAGGATTCGATGAAAAGTTAAAAGATTACCTTTACTCCAAGCTTGTTGCAGATGCTTTCAGCGAGGAGAAGAGAGTAAGCGGATTGTTTGTCTGCTCTAGATGGATCTAACATACATCAAATTATTTGTTAGTGTTACCATTATTGCAAAAGACGGAATTAACAAGAACTAGTCGCGAATGCTTACCTCCAAGAAGCCAGTCTCGATCCGATATGACAAGGATGGTCAAAGGAATATTTTTGCCTTTTCTATATTTACTTTTCATACGGATTATAGTTTGCTTTAATGTATCATAATTCAGAGGATTCCCAACCTGCAGAAGATTGAAAAACATCAATACACAATGACTTTGACCCTCTTCTTGTTCATGCCTCTGAAAATGAAATTTACCTTATGTGAAACTTGGATGTTCTTGATTTTCACTGAACCCATACTATCGCCCACTCTTCTTCTGTCCTCTAACGGTACATCCGATAATATTTCCTGTGTACAGATAATTATTAGTAACTCATTATGTGAGAGCCAAGCGGAGAGAGATAATGGTATATAATCATACCATTGAACTGTCTGGACCAAGATAGTTATCAAACTCCTCGATCATTTGCACAACGTCTCCACGCCAACCAAGTAAAAGTATAGATTCTGTGGGTCCTTTGACAGAATCTGATCCCTGTGTAAACCATAGAAATGAAAATAAGAGGTCTCAAATATTACAAAAGCCCAGTATTATAGATCAAGCATTACAGGGGCCAGTTGGGAGTCAGACCTTTGATAAGGACTTACGAGGACGCATTATAATTTTTGCTAGCCGTGATCTTTTTTTCTCAAACACTTGCTTCCGAGTATCAGTCGCAACTGTAATGTTCTCAAGTTTCATGTCTGCATATAATAGTTGCTTCTTTTTCCAATTGAGAGGTGCGATAAACAATAGTTTGTCGGTTTCCATGAGCTCTTCGTTATCATTTGGGTGGAAATTTACTTTCCCATCTCGTAAAAGGCCACAGACCACAACCTGAAAGGAATACATGTAGAGAATGAAATTCGTAACAACTATCAAAAGGTACTGATTCGAAGAACGAAAAAAAATTCTCCCAAGAGTCAATCCTACCTCCTGGAACCCCAGTCTTAATTGTCTATACTTCGTCCCAGCTAGATTGGGGAAGCTGCAAAGATTAAATACATTTTCTGCAACGAGTAGACTTGGTATTAATTAGTCTTGAATACATACATAATACAAACATGAAATAAAATTCTTAACATAGATAGCAGTAATGAAAGATGAAAGCACACCGTACTTGAGTAATTTAGTAGGTGCCTGTAGATCTTTATCAGGTCTTTTTGACGTGAGCATTGGACAAACAATTTCGACGTAACATTTTCAACCGGCTCCACTTTCAATCCCGAAATAGACTTGAGAAGATCATACGTATTAGGGCTTGATACCTGCATTCATTTCCAGAAGCAAGAAAGGTAAAAGATAAGCATTATAAACAGAACCATTACTGCACAATATATAGTTACCTAATTTACCTCTACAATGGTTGGGATCGATTCCATCTTTTGTATAGGTTGAAGGGCTAATACAGAAAGAAATGCGTCTGTATCAACTTCATACCTGAAACAATGTTTAACTTAATTGATTCCTCTTTTACAAAGTAGTGAGATTCCATACATTTTACCACTAGCATATACACATAACTCTCTTAACCGCGTCCTATATATATCCCAATTGCTAAGCTAGCTAAGTAAACATATCGATATGTATTTTACTATGGAAAAGCTAACATGAAAGAGTTACGACACTAAAAACATTACTACTCAAATATCTACCCGGAACTTCTCAGTTTCCATAATCTTTTTTCTCAAAGCTGACACACATATACTTTCCGAGAGTTGAATTTTTCTTACCTATCACCTTTCGTTGGTAGTATGATAATAGCACGTGCCATAGAGGCAGCAGCCCTCTCAAATGATTTCGTCATGTTAAGACTACAACTGCACTGGTAGAAAGCATGAAATCAGCACTGTAAATGTATGCAAACCAACAAGAACATGAATTAATATGGCATGTCAACCACTTTAGGTTCACTTTTGCTTAATAGGTAGCATGTCAACCACTTTAGGTTCACTTTTGCTTAATAGGTTTGCAACGGCTTGCTCAAGTCAACGGATGGCTTTCAAGGGTAGAAAGTGTTGAATCCCAAGTCAATGATCTGCTTGAGGTTATATCAATTGAAACTGGAAGATTGTGTTTGTTTGGATATTGTTCTGAGGATTGCATATCAAGCTACAAGTATGGTGGAAAGGTATCGAAGATGTTGGAAGAAGTTAAAGAACTTCTATCTAAGAAAGATTTTGAAGTGGTGGCGCAGAAAATTATACCTAAGGCGGAGAAGAAGCATATCCAAACCACAGTTGGTTTGGATACACTGGTTGGAATAGCATGGGAAAGCCTCATGGACGATGAAATAAGAACATTGGGTCTTTATGGTATGGGGGGAGTAGGAAAAACCACTCTCTTAGCAAGTATCAACAACAAATTCGTTGAATTGGAGAGTGAATTTGATGTTGTGATATGGGTTGTGGTATCTAAAGAATTTCAGTTTGAGGGCATTCAAGATCAGATTCTGGGAAGATTACGTCTTGACAAGGAATGGAAACAAGAAACAGAAAATAAGAAAGCTTTGTACATAGACAATATCCTTAATAGAAAGAAATTTGTGCTGTTGTTGGATGATCTCTGGAGCGAAGTAGATCTGAACAGGATAGGAGTTCCACCTCCAACTCGAGAAAATGGATCCAAGATTGTTTTCACCACTCGTTCGAAGGAAGTTGGCAAGCACATGAATGTTGACAAGCAGATAAAAGTTGATTGTTTGTCACCAGATGAAGCGCGGGAATTGTTTCGAATTACCGTTGGAGATATCATATTCAACAGCTATCAAGATATTCCCGCACTTGCAAGAATAGTTGCTGCAAAATGTCATGGCTTGCCACTTGCACTTAATGTCACTGGCAAAGCCATGTCATGTAAAGAGACTATACAAGAATGGTATCTTGCGATTTATGTTCTGAATTCGCTTGGCCACGAGTTTCCAGGTATGGAAGAGAGAATTTTTGGCGTTTTGAAGTTCAGTTATGATAGCTTAAAGAATGGTGAAATCAAATCGTGCTTCCTATATTGTTCTTTGTTTCCTGAAGATTTTGAAATAGAGAAAGAGAAGTTGATAGAATACTGGATTTGCGAAGGCTTTATAAATCCGAACAGATATGAAGATGGAGGTACCAACCATGGTTATGATATAATTGGCTTGTTAGTTCGTGCACATTTGTTAGTTGATTGTGGAGTCAAAGTTAAAATGCATGATGTGATACGTGAGATGGCTCTTTGGATAAATTCTGACTTCGGAAATCGACAAGGAACAATTTGTGTGAAATCTGGTGCACGTCTGATACCGAATGACATCAATTGGGAGATTGTGAGACAGATGTCTTTAATTAGTAATCAGATTTGGGAGATATCTTGCAGTCCCAACTGCCCGAACCTTTCAACCCTATTACTCTCAGATAACAATTTGTTCTTTATATCATTTGGATTCTTTCGGTTTATGCCAAAACTTGTGGTCTTGGATCTTTCTAAAAACGAGAGTCTTATTGGATTGCCGGAAGAAATTTCTAACTTAGGCTCCCTGCAGTATCTCAATTTATCAAGAACAATGATACAATCGCTACCAGTTGGTCTAAAGAAGTTGAAGAAACTAATCTACTTGAACCTGGAGTTCACTCAAGTACTTGAGAGTCATCTTGTTGGGATAGCAGCAACCTTACCAAATCTGCAAGTGTTGAAATTAAAAGATTCCCGTGTTTGTGTTGATGACATATTAATGGAGGAATTACAGCACTTGGAGCACTTGAAGATTTTAACGGCAAATGTAAAGGATGCCACGATTTTGGAAAGGATACAAGGAATTGACCGATTGGCAAGTAGTATTCGAGGTTTATGTCTACTAGAAATGTCAGCACCTCGTGTAATATTACGCACAATAGCTCTGGGAGGTCTTCAACAACTTGGAATTGATAGCTGCGACATATCTGAGATAACGATAGATTGGGAAAGCAAAGAAAGAAGGGAGCTTTCACCAATGGAGATTCTTCCATCTACAAGTTCTCCAGGCTTCAAGCAACTCTCCACTGTTAGTATACTAAATTTGGTAGGGCAAAGGGATTTGTCATGGCTGTTATTTGTTCAAAATCTAAAGAAACTAGAAGTGGGCTTTTCACCAGAAATAGAAGAAATAATAAATAAGGAGAAAGGAATGAGTATTACCAAAGTACATCGAGATATTGTTCTTCCCTTTGGTAACCTGGAATCCCTTAAGCTAAACCGATTGCCTGAACTTAAGGAAATCTGCTGGAATTATCGGACTCTTCCTAACCTTAGAGAATTCCATGTCATAGATTGTCCAAAGCTACCTGAAGATATCAGCTAATTTTCTGACTCTTCCTAACCTTAGAGAATTCGATGTCAGAGATTGTCCAATGCTACCTGAAGATGTCGCTAAATTTCTCAAGCTTGCAGAGTAATAACGGGTGGAAGGGTGATGACAAGTGGTCAATTGCTAAAGTGAAGAAATCGAATTAGAGTACCAATTGTTTCCTTTGTTTCTTATTGTTTCCTTTGTTTCTTTGTTTGATTTGCTTCTGCTTCCAGAAAAGGAGGAACACAAGAGAGTCCTTCAAGTTTCTTTCATCTTTCACGTTTCTTTTGCTTCCTTGTGTGTAGGAACGTGTAGTTCCAAGACTGTTTCCTAAAATATAAATGAAAAAGCCAAAAAAAAAAAAAAGGCAGAGAAATTTGCCTGAAGAATTTTTGTTCTTGTGTTTATTATTCATGATTTGATTGGGACCTGATCATCGGGGATTAATAATGGGAGAAATATGTTTCTAGGCAAATGAATGGTCTCTCTCATGTACAGGTTTGGAATAAAGCCATTACATAACTGGTCTCTACTGTATAAACTTTGCTCCCACTTTGTGTAACTGCACTGTATCCTCTCAGTTCTTAATTTGGTTTTGTATTGATATGTACTGTTTTTGTTTCAATGACCTCTTGTTATCCAGTTACATTTCTCAAAGTTTAAACTTTCCTCTCTTCACAGTGTGAATTCAAAGTGGCGTGTTTTTGTCATGTTTGTGTTGTCTCCTAAGTAACGAACCAGAGTTTGTCAAGGAGAGCATAGATAGCGTTTATGTTTCTGGATTGAGCTAGTTTTAGATCCATGTACCAGATTGTTTTTAGAAGTTAGAACGTTCATTGATTTCTAAGTGAGTCCATGTAGCCCACCACAAACAATTCAATTTGAAGTTTTGGCAATATCTTTACCTTTTTGAAAAATACTCTTTTCCAAACATCACTGATGATGAATAAAAGTCATTACAAAGACTGATTTTTATTTGGGGTCAAAGAAGGAATTAAGAGCAATGATCCAAAAGAGGGGTTCGATGTAAAAGGATTTTGGTTCTTTATACAAATTCAACGACTTATTTGAAGCTTGCATTTGTGAGTCAGTCTGCTTGCCCAATGTCGCTTGGTATGTAATAAACTATAACATATGTGGTATATGAGATTGTATATATTTTCTTGACTTTTAACATATAAACTAATTGACATTGCTGTCTTGACTTTTAATTTCTTGATACAGTCAGTACAGGAATGCACGATTGTATTCCTCTTTCTCTCCACCATTCATCGCCTTCTCTCGTGTTCTTTCCTGCATCGTCTTGGCAGTAATCCCGGGGGTTTCTTTCTTAAAGTTTGTGCAAAATGCTGGACTGGCTTATAATACCCTGGAATCAAATCTTCACTGTTGCATGTGGCTGCTTTTTAAGCGATAGAAACTACATTCACATGATGGAGGCAAATCTCGGTGCTCTGCAGAAAACTATGGAAGAACTTCAGAATGGACGAGATGATCTGTTAGGCAGAGTTTCCATAGAAGAAGATAAAGGTTTGCAACGGCTTGCTCAAGTCAACGGATGGCTTTCAAGGGTAGAAAGTGTTGAATCCCAAGTCAGTGATCTGCTTGAGGCTAGATCAACTGAAACTGGAAGATTGTGTTTGTTTGATTATTGTTCTGAGGATTGCATATCAAGCTACAATTATGGTGAAAAGGTATCGAAGATGTTGGAAGAAGTTAAAGAACTTCTTTCTAAAAAAGATTTTGAAGTGGTGGCGCAGAAAATTATACCTAAGGCGGAGAAGAAGCATATCCCAACCACAATTGGTTTGGATACACTGGTTGGAATAGCATGGGAAAGCGTCATGAACAATGAAATAAGAACCTTGGGTCTTTATGGTATGGGGGGAGTAGGAAAAACCACTCTCTTAGCTTGTATCAACAACAAATTTCTTGAACTGGAAAGTGAATATGATGTTGTGATATGGGTTGTGGTATCTAATGACTTGCAGTATGAGGGCATTCAAGATCAGAGTCTGGGAAGATTACGTCTTGACAAGGAATGGGAAAGAGAAACAGAAAATAAGAAAGCCTCTCTCATAAACAATATCCTTAATAGAAAGAAATTTGTGCTGTTGTTGGATGATCTCTGGAGCGAAGTAGATCTGAGCAGGATAGGAGTTCCACCTCCAACTCGAGAAAATGGATCGAAGATTGTTTTCACCACTCGTTCGAAGGAAGTTTGCAAGCACATGAAAGTTGACAAGCAGATAAAAGTTGATTGTTTGTCACCAAATGAAGCATGGGAATTGTTTCGAATTACTGTTGGAGATGTCATATTCAGCGGCCATCAGGATATTCCCGCACTTGCAAGAATAGTTGCTGCAAAATGTGATGGCTTGCCACTTGCACTCAATGTCATTGGCAAAGCCATGGCATGTAAAGAGACTATACAAGAATGGTGCCTTGCGATTAATGTTCTGAATTCGCTTGGCCACGAGTTTCCAGGTATGAAAGAAAGAATTCTTGGTGTTTTGAAGTTCAGTTATGATAGCTTGAAGAATGGTGAAGAAATCAAATCGTGCTTCCTATATTGTTCTTTGTTTCCTGAAGATTTTGAAATAAAGAAGGAGCAGTTGATAGAATACTGGATTTGCGAAGGATTTATAAATCCGAACAGATATGAAGATGGAGGTACCAACCAAGGTTATGATATAATTGGCTTGTTAGTTCGTGCACATTTGTTGATTGATTGTGAACTCACGGACTATGTTAAAATGCATGATGTGATACGTGAGATGGCTCTTTGGATAAATTCTGACTACGGAAATCAACAAGGAACAATTTGTGTGAAATCTGGGGATCATGTACGTCTGATACCGAATGACATCAATTGGGAGATTGTGAGACAGATGTCTTTATTTGGTACTCAGGTTGAGAAGATATCTTGCAGTCCCAACTGCCCCAACCTTTCAACCCTATTACTCTCAGATAACAAGTTGGTGGATATTTCAGATGGATTCTTTCGGTTTATGCCAAAACTTGTGGTCTTGGATCTTTCTGGAAACAGTTATCTTGTTGGATTGCCGGAAGAAATTTCGAACTTATGTTCCCTGCAATATCTCAATTTATCATGGACAAGGATAGAATCGCTACCAGCTGGTCTGAAGAAGTTGAAGAAACTAATCTACTTGAACCTGGAGTATACTGGAGTACATGAGATCAGTCTTGTTGGGATACCAAATCTGCAAGTGTTGAAATTATTTCGTTCCAGTGTTTATGTTGATGACATATTAATGGAGGAACTACAGCACTTGGAGCACTTGAAGATTTTAACGGCAAACATAGAGGATGCCACGATTTTGGAAAGGATACAAGGAATTGACCGATTGGCGAGTAGTATTCGACGTTTATGTCTAAGATTTATGTCAGCACCTCGTGTAATATTAAGCACGGTAGCTCTGGGAGGTCTTCAACAACTTGCAATTGAGTTCTGCAACATATCTGAGATGAAGATAAATTGGAAAAGCAAAGAAAGGAGGGAGCTTTCACCAATGGAGATTCTTCCATCTACAAGTTCTCCAGGCTTCAATCAACTCTCCACTGTTGATATATTCGATTTGAAAGGGCCAAGGGATTTGTCATGGCTGTTATTTGCTCAAAATCTAAAGAAACTAGATGTGGGCTTTTCACGAGAAATAGAAGAAATAATAAATAAGGAGAAAGGAATGAGTATTACCAAAGTGCATCCAGATATTGTTCTTCCCTTTGGGAACCTGGAATCCCTTGATCTACATCGATTGCCTGAACTTAAGGAAATCTGCTGGAATTTTCGGACTCTTCCTAACCTTAGAAAATTCGATGTCTTTGATTGTCCAAAGCTACCTGAAGATATCGCTAAGTTTTTCAGGATTGCAGAGTAATAACGGGTGGAAGGGTGATAACAAGTGGTCAATTGCTAAAGCGACGACCAAATCGAGTGAAGAACGACCAAATCGAGTGAAGAAATCGAATTAGAGTACCAATTGTTTCCTTTGTTTCCTTTGTTTCCTTTGTTTCTTTGTTTTCATTTGCTTCTGTAAATAACAGAGAACGTGTCTCTTCTTCCTGAAAAGGAGGAACACAAGAGAGTCCTTCACGTTTTGTTTTTCTCTTTAACTCTTATGTATGCATTTGCTTCCTTGTGTGTAGGAACCAAGACAGTTCCAAGACTGTTTCCTATTATATTAAATGAAAAAGCCAAAAAAAAAAAGGCAGAGAAATTTGCCTGAAGAATTTTTGTTCTTGTGTTTTTTATTCATGCTTTGATTGGGAGAAAGATGTTTCTACGCAAATGAATGGTCTCTATATCTCTCCCCTGCTTGCTTTGCTACCACTTTGTGTAACTGCACTGCATCCTCTCAGTTCTTAATTTGGTTTTGTACTGCTTTTGTTTCAATGACCTCTTGTTATCCAGTTACATTTCTCAAAGTTTAAACTTTCCTCTCTTCACAGTGTGAATTCTAAGATTTGGTGCTGTGTTTTTGTCATGTTCTGCTTTGTCTCCTAAGTAACGAACTAGAGAGTTTGTCAAGGAGAGCATAGATGGCGTTTAGAGAGGAAAAAATAACTAAATCATTACAAAGACGATTTTTATTTGGAATTTAAGACCAATGAACAAAAGAGGGGCTTCGATGTAAAAGAATTTTGGTTCTTTGTACAAATTCAACGACTTATTTGATGTTTGCATTTGTGAGTCAGTCTCCTTGCCCAATGTAGCTTGGTGTGCGAGAAACTATAACATATGTGGTATATGAGATTGTATATATTTTCATAGTGTGATGGGTTGGTCTCCTTCAAGCTCTGATATAACAATCAATGAGTCTTCCATTTCGAGGGAGAGAGGTTCGTTCTTTGGAACCGGATTGATTATCTGCAACCACGGAAAACCAAGTTATCAATGTCCGTGAAGAGGAGGAGGTTAAATGTATGTTGCAGAGTAATTAAACACTCACCTTTTTACCGCCTTTTATGTAGCCTATGGCGACTTCTCTCCTTAGCCAAGCTCGCTCTGAGAGCTCAGTGAATGAAGGGTTCTCGCCCTCTTTCATGTACAGTTCAATGTCCTGTGTATCTCAAAAGCAAACTCGAGATTTTCAGACTGCAATTTTTATGATTTTTCAAACAAAGGAAGAGATTCTTTCAACCTTAACGTATATCTCGTCACCATCTGCGTCTAGAATGTCCTTCCATACCTCGTTCAGTTCGCTGTTTTCAGCAACTAATTAAAAAAAGAAAAAAGAGTATTACTATTGTTCGGATTGCGGTGGATAAATAAGAAACAAAACTGAAATTGATTAACCTTGTGCTGTTACAAGGCTCATAACTTCCTCTGCCGCTATGAAAGTTAGGGACGGCTTGAGTCCTGTTATCTGTATGGTTTTGTATAATGTTTCACCAACTTAACCGTAAAGAAGCTAACAGAAAAACAAAATCGTCTTTCAATACCTGCTTGCCGAGTTTTGAGTCGACGATTTCAGAAGCTAGATTATGTACCTTAAGAAACAACAAAAGTAAGATGAATTTTACCTATGCAATGTGGTTAGGATTCGATGAAAAGTTAGAATTTTATGAAAAGTTATAAGATTACCTTTACTCCAAGCTTGTTGCAGATGCTTTCAGCAAGGAGAAGAGAGTAAGCGGATTGTTTGTCTGCTCTAGATGGATCTAACATACATCAAATTATTTGTTAGTGCTATGATTATTGCAAAAGATGGAACTAAGAAGAACTAGTCGTGAATGCTTACCTCCAAGAAGCCAGTCTCGATCCGATATGACAAGGATGGTCAAAGGAATATTTTTGCCTTTTCTATATTTACTTTTCATACGGATTATAGTTTGCTTTAATGTATCATAGTTCAGAGGATTCCCAACCTGCAGAAAATTGAAAAACATCGATACGCAACGACTTTGAACCTCATCATGTTCATGCCTCCGGATATGAAATTTACCTTATGTGAAACTTGGATGTTCTTAATTTTCACTGAACCCATACTATCTCCCACTCTTCTTCTGTCCTCTAACGGTACATCCGATAATATTTCCTGTGAACAGAAACTTATAAGTAACTCATTATGTGAGAGCCAGCCGGAGAGAGATAATGAATGGTATATGATCATACCATTGAACTGCCTGGACCAAGATAGTTATCAAACTCCTCGATCATTTGCACAACGTCTCCACGCCAACCAAGTAAAAGTATAGATTCTGTGGGTCCTTTGATGGAATCTGATCCCTGTGTAAACCATAGAAATGAAAATCAGAGGTCTCAAAATTTTCGAAAGCCCAGTATAAATCAAGCATTACAGGGGCCAGTTGGGAGTCAGACCTTTGATAAGGACTTACGAGGACGCATTATAATTTTTGCTAGCCGTGATCTTTTTTTCTCAAACACTTGCTTCCGAGTATCAGTCGCAACTGTAATGTTCTCAAGTTTCATGTCTGTATATAATAGTTGCTTCTTTTTCCAATTGAGAGGTGCGATAAACAATAGTTTGTCGGTTTCCATGAGCTCTTCATTATCATTTGGGTGGAAATTTACTTTCCCATCTCGTAAAAGGCCACAGACCACAACCTGAAAGGAATACATGTAGAGAATGAAATTCGTAACAACTATCAAAAGGTACTGATTCGAAGAACGAAAAAACATTCTCCCAAGAGTCAATCCTACCTCCTGGAACCCCAGTCTTAATTGTCTATACTTCGTCCCAGCTAGATTGGGGAAGCTGCAAAGATTAAATACATTTTCTGCAACGAGTAGACTTGGTATTAATTAGTCTTGAATACATACATAATACAAACATGAAATAAAATTCTTAACATAGATAGCAGTAATGAAAGATGAAAGCACACCGTACTTGAGTAATTTAGTAGGTGCCTGTAGATCTTTATCAGGTCTTTTTGACGTGAGCATTGGACAAACAATTTGGACGTAACATTTTCAACCGGCTCCACTTTCAATCCCGAAATAGACTTGAGAAGATCATACGTATTAGGGCTTGATACCTGCATTCATTTCCAGAAGCAAGAAAGGTAAAAGATAAGCATTATAAACAGAACCATTACTGCCTAATAAATAGTTACCTAATTTACCTCTACAATGGTTGGGATCGATTCCATCTTTTGTATAGGTTGAAGGGCTAATACAGAAAGAAATGCGTCTGTATCAACTTCATACCTGAAACAATGTTTAACTTAATTGATTCCTCTTTGACAAAGTAGTGAGATTCCATACATTTTACCACTAGCATATACACATAACTCTCTTAACCGCGTCCTATATATATCCCAATTGCTAAGCTAGCTAAGTAAACATATCGATATGTATTTTACTATGGAAAAGCTAACATGAAAGAGTTACGACACTAAAACATTACTACTCAAATATCTACCCGGAACTTCTCAGTTTCCATAATCTTTTTTCACAAAGCTGACACACATACTTTCCGAGAGTTGAATTTTTCTTACCTATCACCTTTCGTTGGTAGTATGATAATAGCACGTGCCATAGAGGCAGCAGCCCTCTCAAATGATTTCGTCATGTTAAGACTACAACTGCACTGGTAGAAAGCATGAAATCAGCACTGTAAATGTATGCAAACCAACAAGAACATGAATTAATATGGCATGTCAACCACTTTAGGTTCACTTTTGCTTAATAGGTAGCATGTCAACCACTTTACCTCTTTGTAAGGATATCAATATGATTAAAATCTCTGGAGTACGCCTCAGCTAGCTTGTCCATCTGCTTCCTTGGAGTATCAGACATGAGCAGAAGTCTCTGCTTCCTGAAAGCATGTAACAAGGAAAAGTAAGTATCCCAGTCAACATAAGCCGAGAAATAAATTGTAGATATATAGAGAGACCAAAATACCTAGCTGTAGCGGTACCTAAGCGGACAGCATGCTCATGGTAGCTGTTCAGTTGCTTTAGTATGAAAGGTAGATGACTGTTTATTCCACAAATGATGATATGATCAGCTTCTAGGACTTGCATCTGTGCCCCTTCCCTCAGTTTTGTCATATTATACTGCCAGCCAAAGCGATTACGAATTTGTACCAATTAACATTCATTTTTCACCAGTAGCGTTTATCTCAAGAACTTACCCGAAATTGTTCTGTCATTGTGCTTAAAAGTCGAGAGTAAAACAATATTCCCCAAATGGCTAGGACAAATCCAATGACTCTTTCAATGCGTGTCTTTTGCTGCATTTTTCAGTAGACATATATGCATTTAGTTTCAAGAACTCCATAGAAATATCTTGAGGCTTGTAATTTGAAATTATCTTTGGATCGGTGAAGAAGCAAATCATGACCTTCAGATGAGTAGAAGAGGAAATGAGGCATGCCCAGGCTTCCCAAAGGCAGTCTTCTAATGGTAGGTCTTTCCTTCACATAAGTAAGAAATCATGCAATGGAAATTCATACATTAGATTATTTTGCTTTTCTACAATTTCTTCATCAGACTAAAACCAAGAATTGTTTTTATCATTCATGTATAGAGTTTCAGAAAACTTCATCATATAACCACACTAAGACGATCTTGAGAAGGCTTTAAATCGATAAGCTAAGTTAAATAAAGTTGTGTTACCTGAATTTGAAAAATAGGAGTCCCCCAATGATAACAAACGATACACATGCTATCATGAGCGCCACAAGGAACCTAAAATAGCCACGACAAGGGATCAAAACGGATGTCATAGTCACACAAAAAAATAGAATGTACTACATATGAACAATGCTAATTTCAAGGACAGTGATACTAACAATAATACTCAATATGAATCTGATATTACTTAGGTGATCCTCGACCTCTATGTCCACACTATTGGAAGCCAAAAGATTTAAGTCAATTTTTACACTATTTCCATGTTGTATCATTTGAAATTTAGTGAATCATCCTAGCAATTCTGACACTTTCCAATATTAACCATCCAATACCGCCAGTTGCTTCGGTAATTGGTATCATTTGTACATACAACTATCTTACAGAAATAGAAGAAACACAATTACCATGAGGGTAAGAAATATTGGGTTTAGAACATACGTGCCAATGTTCTTCTCAAGCTGTATATTGAACAGGTAAAGAAACCTTGCAAGACCCCATCTGATATCTTGAAAAGAAGGAACGGAGACGTCCAACTTGAGAGGAGTAGGTAGAGAGTTCGATGCACAAGCAAAAGGCAAGCCAGCCCCCACTGAGTTCTGAACTAGGCGGGGAAGCTCTTGACATATCTTTTGCGCTATCCTGAACACCACATACAGTGGGATGCATCCTACCACCAGTTTATATGGAAGACTCTGCAGATTAAGAAGATTATATCTTAAGGATACGAAATATTTAATCTCGATAACTATCCAAGAAGCAAACACATTGAAAGACATCACATACACCAGTAAACACAATTACCTAAGACTCATCCTTCAAACCAAAAAACGGGTGTATATAAGATATCAGAATAATCATCAGATGGAAAAAGAAAAAAAAACGGAACGTTGTGCAGTCTAGAACCTCTTAAACACGAAAGGAACAGATTATTCGACTTGTTCTGCACAGTACTGGACCAAGAAAAAAAAGGATAAAGACATGACACTGGACATGGTTTAGCTTCACCTTATGGAATTTGGAATTGAAATCATTCAGGTTAACACTAGACGGCTCAGTGTCTCCTGTCCTCTGAGATTTGACTTTGAAGGTCCCTGTAGTATAGGAAAAACATGAACAATGAAACCCTAAAGAATTGCATTAAAATCCTTTATTGTAGTAAACCTCACCTGGGCATCTAAAAGACTCAATCCCACCTAAAGGTAGAGACTTTAAACTCAAGCTCCTGCAAAAATAAAAAATTGTAAGCATTAAATACACAATCCGACTAAAACTCAGTTTTGGATCATAGTCCCAAATTCAATTCCAACTTAAACCCTAAACCCAGATTCAGAGCTTCCATTAAAACTCCAAAAATTAAGCTCTACTACATTTTATGTCCCAAATTCAATTCCATCGTCATTTCTAATCAAAACCCATTAAACTCTACTACATTTTATACAGTAAACAAACATAAAACAGCTTCACCGGAAAAAGAAACAAAAACCCAAATAAAAAGTCGAAATCTTTGACAATCACAAATTTCATAACCATCATCTTATGGATAAGTCACACCCACCATGATTCATGAAAGCAAGCAAATTGAATTATAAGAAAAACCTGTTAAAAGAAGCGAATCGATCTACTCGTGAAGCTTGTGAAGGTAGAATCAATGGCTTCCAGGTAAACAACTGAACAGCCACCATGATTTATCTCTTCTCCTTCGCTCTCTTTGTTTCTCTGCTTAAATATATATAAGACTCATCTTTTAGAATTTGCACCTTTTCTTTTTTGTTTTCGAGGGAAATGTGTGTTTTTAATTAGAGTCAATTATCGACTTTTTTTGTTGTTAATGACTTTTAATATTTTGGATCATCTTCTCAAATTAGTATTCACACAAATAAGTTGAGTTAGAAAATTGTGGTCACAACTTATCACACATTACTAAAGCAAACAAAAATTGTGGTCACAACCAAAAGTTGTTAATGATTTATGTTTTGGATCATCAAAAAATCTGGTCTAATTTATATTTTTTTCATGATTAGGAGGTTTTGGATCCGTGGAGACGTCTATTTCCATTTCTAGGACAGAGTTCAGACCATGTAATTTAATTCATTTTTGAAGAGCAAATGCAAAATTTTCGTAACTCACAAAGCGAACCAACAATTTTTCGGTTTTTACGCTTTCGGTAACCTAAGAACTTAACCGCTACACCAACTCGTCGTTGGTATCTAAAGAAAAAATTTATAATGGCACAGATTTCCTTTAAAGACTTAAACAACCTAAATATCCATTTAGAAAAGAAAAAAAAAAAACAACAACCCAAATGAATCAATGTACGTTCCATTAAGCTAGCTAAAAAAAAAATTAGTACAAAACACATACCGTTTTATATCTTACAACTTTCACTTGCCCTTAATTAGTTTCTCTATACAAAGTAGACATTTGGATTTGTATACAATCGGTTTGCTAAGTCAACTAGTCATTGTTTTTTAATTGTTACTTTAGGTCACCACTTTAATTATTAAAGATGGACTACGAGTCTTTAATATTGACGCAAACACTCGTATAATTTAATTTATTTATGGTAAACCCACACAAAGTATATTATTCACAACTCGGATAATACAATCTTGTACATCTCCTTAGAGAACGTGCTGCATAAAATTGAAACGAACATAGTAACTAACTAACAAAATTTTAAGATACACTATTCGACTTAAATATTTTTTGTTGTTGTTTAAATTAGGTATGACTTATGAGTTATGAGATGAGATCGAAGAGGAAGAAGTGGAACATAAAGCACGTGGGTACACACAATGTGAATCTCAATTTTTTTGGTTATCATTGCCAATTCTATCACGCTTTCAATTTTTGCTACATCACTCTCTTTTACTGACTTTTTGTATTTTTTCTTCTTCCACTCACTTTTCTCGTTTTTATATATATTTTGAAAGAGATATAACGAATACTAATTAAACAAATATTTTTTGTTTTGTTCTATCGTTAAAATCTCATCCGCAATATGGAAATCGGACGTAATTGGCTCTTGAAATATCATTTTCAATGTGTTGTTAATAAGACGACATATATAGTTTAAAACTTTAAATACATATCAGAAACACAAATAAAATATCTGATAATCATGGTTGAAATGAAAAGAACAAAAAAATTATACATTATTTTAGTTACATAATTACATATTAGCAAACGAAAAAAGAGTTTTGATCACGCACATTACCACAGAGAGACAATGACATAAAGAATATGGATTTTGCATAATAATTTGACCATTGAAAAGCTAAGCACTATATGATCTTACACAAAAGTAAATATGTATGAAATGTATTTTATTATTCTGTGATGAATACTTAAACATACGAATTTTTTTTCTTACAAAAATATCATTGTTTAAATATAACATGATTAACAATGTGTACATTTCAGAATAAACGAGTTAGACTTCTTTGTGGATAAAATATGAATTTTGTAACTAAGAAATAAATATATTAATATTTCTAGGCCATTTTCATGATTTCGTCCTTTTTGTAAGAACCTATATTTGTTTTTTTCTTTAGCCAAATTTGTTTTTGGCATGTGACAATCTTAATGTTGAATGGACTCCCATGTGGGAGGGCATAATCTTTCACTTCTTATGGTTGAAATTTTTTCCGTTCTTGTGTGAAGAAATGACTAATAGTATTTTTGAACTTGATTTTCATATCTTTTTACAATAAAACTTCTATAAATTGCTGTCCAAAATAAATAAATAAAACTTCTATAAAATAAACAATTCCTTAAATTTTTATTTTTTCAGTCATCTTATATATTAAAGGAGAAGTCGAAAGTGCTCACATTCGCTCTCAGAAATTGAAAATACGTTGTTGCCCCCCTTTAATAAAATTGCCTAATTTAATTTTTTTAAATGTTTTTTTCCGTTTTTAATCTAATTATATTAAATGATTTTCGTTTAAATAAAAGGCCACATATTGTGTAATCCGTTTAACCAATATGGGCCGAACAAAATATACAACTACACCGACTTTATGTTAAATCGTAAACCCTAGAAACACATATTTAACCTCCTATAAATACATTAACTTCCTATCGTCACAGCCGGAGACACCGCCACCGCCGAGTCTCAACTCAAGCAAACCCTAAGCCATAAAGTTTCAAGAGAGAAACTGAATCTGATATCCATTGTGCATCCAAGCCGCCGTCGTTGAGATCATCACCACCACAGCCACGTTGGAGATCACTGAAATTTGTGAGCCTTCTTACGTACGTTATCGCCAACGTGATCACGTTGGCACCGTAGCTTGCTACTTCTCCACTCCTTTGTGATCTAGAGCTGGGAAAAGAAAGAAGAAGTAAAGAAGAAAAGAAAGAGCATATTGGAGAAGACAAAAGAGAAAGAAAAGGATATATTGATCAGAGAAGGCTTATAGGAAAAGAAGAAGGAACCATGTAGGTAGAATCAAAACTGATATTATTTCGATTCATGTTTTCTATCTGTGTTGTTTGTTTTTTAACAAGTTGTTTCGTACTGTTGCGTTCCTAAACTGTATGAGTCTCTTATCTCTATATATCTCACACATATAACATGTGAGTCGAATTCTTTTTTTTTTTTTAACCTCAGGAGGAGTACCATCTAGCGATTATAACTACACCAATAGCTCTTATCAAGTCTCCCTTTTCTCTCTTCATCTTCAAATCACGGTTCCATTATCCATGTTCAAGTGAGTTAATTATAATAAAGTGGGTTAATTTTTGTTTTAAAGTTGTAGAAGAAGGAAGCAACGGAAAAGGTATAAAATAAAATAAAAAGCTTCTTTGATTTTCTCTTATATATGTTTTTTTTTTTTTTTTTTTTTTTTTTTTTTTTTTTTTTTTTTTTTTTTTTTTTTTTTTTTTTTTTTTTTTTAACAAACCTTTCCATTAACACAAATCCCAGACACCCTGGAACAGACATACAAGTGCCTCCTATAATGAGTAACACCTACAAGACCCACAAAGAAGGAAAACAACAACAGAGCACATTAAGCGTTAAACATACCAAACCATGATGCAAGGAAAGAGATTCCATGAAGGCCTAATCTCTGAGCTCTAGAAAGAGGATCCAAGTGACACCGGATTAGATTCTTAATCTCAAGAATTAGAGAAGAAGCCGGTCTTGAAGAAGAATTATGAAGCCGATTGTTTCTTTCTTTCCAGAGAATGTATATCGAAGCTTGAAAGGCAATTCTCAGAATCGTTGCCACATTTTTGTCTTGGCAAGGATTCTTGATCCATCTAACTCCATCCTCAAATAATCTTGGAGGAGAGACATGGGCCCTTGCAGTGAAATAGTTCCATACCTCAGCCGCATAAGAACAGTCAAAGAAAAGATGTTGTCTAGACTCATCATGTATGTTGCAAAGAAGGCATAGAGAAGAGACATTATATGTTAACTGTTTCTGTTTTCTAAGGTTTTTTGTCTCACCTATTCGGTTTTCAGAAAAACTGTCTCTTTTGTTTTGGTCAAGGATCTTTGGGATTTCTCAAAAAGGTATTGATAATTAAGAAGCAAAGGTACGTATATTAGGTAAGAAATTCGAAGATTTTATGATGTATAGGATAACCAATGGATTTTTATTTGAAGAATTAAAGTTTTAGAAATAATTTTAGAGGATGTGAAATCCGGTGACCAGGTTATTTTGAAGCTGTTCACTTTGATGTCAAGTTCGTATGCTGGTGTTCCTCCGGTGCTGGAAGACACCATGGATCTCTACGATCTTCTTTTGGTGGGATTTGTGTTGTCGTCTATTTGTTATATTTTAGATCTGGTATTATCTAATATTAAATTTTATTGTTTTGAAGGATATGTCCACTTCGTTATTTCGTTGATCATCGCCATGTTCCAGCAAACATGTCATCGGTGAATACGAAAGAGTAGGTTGGATGTGTGTAAACCCTAAGTTTTTATGAACCGGTTGGATAGGTAATTAATATTTTCATTATGGATTTAGATTAGGGTTCCAATGTTTCCCTCTTTAAAAGTTTGTAAACGTGGTATTTTTCTCCTTTTAGTCAAGCATACATCATTTCATGAATAAATTCTCCAAAAATATTAGGATTTGTTTCATTTGGGTATCAAAGGTTTCTTTTGTGATTCTTATTTGGAGGAAGCACTCGAATCCCGAACGTTCTGTAGATGTTAAAGGATTTCTTCGATGGCAAGGAACCCAACAAAGGAACTAACCCTGATGAGGTTTTGGCCTATACAACCGCCGTCCAAGGTGGAGTATTAAGTGGTGAAAGTGGAGAAGAAACGCAAAGTAAGTGACTCTTTTTAACTCTCTTTATGACAATAGTTTAGACCATCTATAGTGTTTTCATGTTAGTCATTGTATTTGAGTTGCAGAAAACCTAAATTTATTGAAAACAGATATTTTGCTACTTGATGTTGCGCCTTTGCACCTCGGTATTGACACTGTCGGAGGCGTGATGACAAACATTATTCCTCGGATCCCAACGAAGAAGTCTCAGGTGTTCACTACTTACCAAGATCAGCAAACTACTGTGACTATCAACGTCTATGAAGAGATAAGCATGACGAAAGATAACCCCGAGCTCGGAAATTTCCAGCTCACCGGCCTTCTTCCTGCACCTAGGTAAACTCTCTAATTCAATATTGGCTACTAAACCATTTCGGTTCTTGGTTTTTTAAAGACGCAAGGAACAGTTTTTCATGGGGGTGCCACAGATGGAGGTGACTTTCGAAGTGGACGCAAATGGGATTCTGCAAGTGAACACCGAAGACAAAGTTCCAAAGATGTCACAGTCAATTACAATAACGAACGATAAAGGTCGTTTGACAGGAGAAGAGATTGATGAATTGATTATATTAATTAGCTACGTATGAACTAGACACCGTTATACACATACGAGGACTTATTTGGAGAAGACATCTTCGCTAATACGTGTACGAATATGAACTTTGGCTGGTATTCGAGTAAGACGTGTTGTGCATTTTTTTACTTTTGTTTTGTTCTGAGTTGTGCGATATTTTAATAAATAGTTTATTGTCCATTATTAAACGGAGTCCATAATAATTTTTGTGATATATTTTTGTTTTGATCTTTAGTTTATAAATAAATATGCATATATATATTACTAGATCCGGACCCGCACGTACGTGCGGGGTTTTGTTAACATACGATTTTTGAGTATAAAACTTATGTCATATAGGTTTTCAATGTGTGTGTATCAATTTGAAATTGATATGACTATTAAAAATATATATATGTGACAAATTACATGATTGAATATATTAGTATGGTGAACAAATCTAATCGGTCGATAAAATATGTATTTGGGTGTAGTTTGTATAAAAACATAGTTGGATTTTGGCGAGATAAGTTTGGTGTATTTCTATAATAAAAGATTGTATTAAATAATATAGATAACATAGTATCATATTTTTTTACAAACTTAAGAACAATTATCCTAATTACATATATATTCCCACACTATTTCACCTCTACTGCTGCCGCTGTCTCAAGTTCCACAATTTAGAGTTTATTTAATAAGATTTCTCACAAATTTTTTAAAAAAACAAATCTTATCAAAATCTTCAAAAAAAAATCATTTTATTATTTTCATAGATAAATTAACCAAATGTAAAATTAATTGACAGTATGGTCAAAAATGATTTGAGGAGTAAATACTATTTTCAAATTTTGTATGAATTATGATTGGTTACTTTCCCTATTGGTTTAAAGTGATTTTTTGCCACGATTTTCTTTGTGGAAATTTTAAACAAAAGATAACACTTAAATATGTTTAATTGATTAAATTCTAATAACCTTTTTATTTTATTTTATAAATGCTGACAATAACCATAGCATCCAGTGGCGACACATCAACAAAAATTATATCTAAGATTTTCATTTAATATATCATAAACTTAGAATAATTTTCATATCTAATGGATATGTTTTGTGTATATTTTAATGTTGTATTGCGTTTAAATATGATTAATATTTTTAACTTTTTATAACATTTACAAAATTATAATATATGTCTTCATATATTGAGTAATAACATATCAAAGAAAAATGTAAATATAAATATAAGAAAGAGTGTTACTTGTTAAGGCTGATGTCATCTTCGAGGTTGACTTTTTCAGAACTCATATGCATTTCTTGATAAGTCAGAAATCCAGATGAAATAGCAAATCTCACATTAAATCTCGATCTGATTTAACATTGTAGGAAAAAAAAACGAAAGTTGAATCGATGATTTCCAAAGAGACCAAACGATGTCTAAATATAATCAAAGCAAAATCTATACTTACTACAACTCAATATCGTGTAACTTGGACACCAAGTCTAAATGTTGCATTACATTCTTCTTGATTTCTCGTGAAAATGGTCTCATATAGTGAATTTCACCTATAAAAAAAAAAGGAACAAAACGTATGTAAAATTCTCTAGAAGCAAACATATAACAACAAATTATCATAAAGCCAACATTTTAAAGCAAAAAATAGAAGAAAGTAGGTTCCTTTTCTTTGATAAATAGATTTTTAAAGAAGGTGGGCTAATGAGTCTCTGTGAGTCTAATTTTATATATTTATAGGGAAAAATGAAGTTAATGAGAAAAATAAGGTTTACCTACTTTGAATTTTAAAAATGATTCAATATCTTAATTGATTCTTAGTTCAAATTTTTAGGTCAAATCTCTGGTTTAAATATTCTTGTTTATATATTTTGTATCTTTGAAATTAATGACAACATATTTCTATTTCCGTTTTTTATTTTTATTATCAGTATATTGGTTTTAATTGGGTAAAGATATTTTAAGAAATCAAGTTTAGTATTAAAATCAAATTAGTAGAATGTAGATTATGACTTGCGTTAAATTTCAAATCGTTATTTAATTTTAGGAATCAACTTTTTGTTTCCTAAATCACGATTTATTAGGAATCAGTTTTAGTATAATATTTTTTAACCATATTATGATGATTCGTAGTTTCTGTAAATGGTTCTTTTCCTTTAATGACATAAATTAATGATCGAATTTGTGTTTACTGTTTACTAATATATCCGAAATTTATGGATGCAATATTATCAAAATCTTGGAATTAATAACTGTTATTAATGTCATCTGGATCCGGGTTATTGGAATAGGTACACGTGTCTCTGTAACTGGGTCGGTTTAGATTAGGGGTGTCAAAATGGGTTAATACCCATGGGTTACCCGAACCCGCCCATGATTTTAGTGGGTTTGGATAGAATTTTTTTACCCATATATATAAATGGGTTTTAATGGGTTACCCTATTAGGGTTATGGGTTTAATGGGTAAAACCCATTAGGGTCATGGGTTACCCATGGGTTTCATAACCAAAACTAAAAAGTAAAATTTATATATATCTATATTAATATATTATGTAAAATTTATATAAATATATGTAAAATATCTTCTTTTCTTTACAACTATAAATGTAAAATATCTAAAATAACTATTAAAGTTTACATTTTACCTAAAAATAAGAGTAAAAAGTAAAATATATGTATAATATCTAGATTTTTTTAATTTATTATTTAAAAACTTTTGTTGGTTTACAATTTTATGTTATTTTTTTGGATTTTTATTATTTATATATTTTATTATACATATATATGGGTACCCATATAACCCATTAAGCCAATGGATTTCTACAATAATGGGTTTGGGTATGTAAATTCAACCCATATAAATATATGGGTCGGGTCAAACCCGTCTATTAAACACTCGAACCCATATGGGTTTGGGTCGGGTCGGGTCGGGTTACCCATTTTGACATCCCTAGTTTAGATCCAATCTGAATCCAACGACAACATGTCAACCCAAAATCTTTTTTTTTTTTAATTAGCAAGGATCCGCGTGTTTATCCGATCCGGGTTCAACGGGTCAACCCAAGATCCGCTGATTTTTCCGATGAGATAGACCGAAATACCCTTTTGCGATTTTTTTTTCTTTTTATCAAATTCAAAAATACTAATGGCATTCTTTGTAATTAATCTACCAAAATAAGGTTACCTATGTTTGAGTGATTCCCAATTAATAGTATAGATATATAATGTTATTATTGGTCATATTAATTACTAACGATAGTAGAATAAATAGTTTATTGAGGAAGTAAACCAATTTTTTTTTGATAGTATATCGTAATGACTTAACCTTCCTTTATTATAAGTTTCAACTTCTTTTGTGTATTTTATAATTGTCTTTTGTAGAGATAATAAGAAATCTATTGGCATATTATCTCTCGCATTATTGTACAGTATTTTAAATTTTAAAATTATTTAATTAACAAATGTATGTTTCTTTTGTTAACAAAAAATAAAAATTTAATTTTTGTGTAATAGAAATACAGATGGGTTAAAAACTATTTTGCTCATCGTAAAATTATTATTAAGTAGTAAAAAAATTAAACCATATTAAGTTCTATTAATTTTTATAAGGATTATGATAGTGCCAAATATAAATGTTAATCTTATTAAAAATTAGAATCATTTAATAAAAATGTCATTGATAATCATTATCTAAAGATTGACTCTCTTTTTTTCCGTAGATTTGTGTTCACTGATATGAAAAAAAAACAGATGAAAAAGGGGGTTAACATTCAATGTAAGTTACTTGAGAGGGTTAAAACTTGATGTTACGATGGTAAACATAGAGCATAATACTTTAGCTATAACTTTGATGGGTGTGAAAGTTGTATTAGTGCTTCTATCAAGCGTCGTTTTAATAACTTTCATGAGTGTTTTTTTGTGTTAAATGAAATACAAAAATTCTTAAATACTTCAAAGGATGATCAAAGTCAAAGTTATCACGAGATTTATGTGCATTGTTTCGTTGAATGAGATGGTAGAATTAGTCCTAGATCTTAAAGATTTGGTCTTTAAGAATGCACGTATATCATTTGTAGTTTTATATGGGATCATTTCGTAGAATATATTTATCTAAATATTATAGAAGAATGTTGGAAACTTTTAATTTATCTCGATGATTCCATTCGGCCGCGCCTTGAGAAGAGTTGAGAAGAAAGGTTTTGTAAAGAATCAGAGAGTTGAAAAAGAAAGAGACAGAGATATGGATAGAAATGGAAAGAGGAACGATATTCAATGTCATGAATGTCAAGGATATGTACATGTCAAAGCTTAGTGCCCCTCCCTGAAGAGAAAAGAACATATGCTCTGAGTGCAAATGCATCATACACTCGAAATTTGACTGTGTGGGTTCTAGATCCAATAAGGAAAGGTCCTACATTGTTGAAAGTGGAAGTAACTCTGAAGATGATGACTCGAAGAAGAAGCGAAGGGTTTTGTATCTTTTGTGGGAATCATAGACGACAAAGATGAAAGCTCTAACAGTGAAGCAGAAAAATTAATTGAAATGGAGCCAGCTCAACTGATGATGAATCAGACACTGTGAAGGATGTGGACATCGATGGACAGTTTAGAATATTGTATGACAACCGGTTCTTAATGAGTAAGGAGAAGGTCTCATGGATGGAAGAAAAGTTAACACTTCAAGATTAGAAGGAGAAGCTCAAAGGAGGCCTAGCTCTGGAAATTAAGAAGAACAGTGAGCTGACTCAAAAGTGTGGTTTAAAGGGAAAAAAACAAACAGAGCTCTCACACAAGACTTAAGTGATACTTGGAAGAAGATACACATACTGAATAGTGTGACAAAGGATCTGGATAACATATTAGTGTAACACCCCGATTTCATGAATATGGTGGTGCATGCAGAGAGGTTTAAAAGAATTGATTTGGCCACCTATGTCACAAAAGTGCACTTATCTTTTCGGTCAACTGTCCAGAGAGAA